GACTCGACGGCACTTACAACAACAACAACATTGTGACATGGGTGAAAATTTACAGAGCCAATTCACTTTCTATACAGTGTATGTGAGCACACTTTGTCTCATGACATTGACTACAGTTTCCCATAATGCAACAGCTCCTCTCCCACTTCCTCCCCAGTTACCTCATCCCCATGTCCTTCTTTCCCATTCACTCCTGCCCCTCGAGCTGTCTCCCTGTGCATACACAGCCCTTCTATTTTCCCATGATTGATCTCTCCAAGGAGTGTATCTACCTAATGTAAATGTTAAGCTTATACGCCTGTCTTTTGTTTGGCTGGAAGCCACAGGAGTGGGTCCAATTCCAGGGCAGCTGGGGGTATAGTCTCAGTGGTTTCATCAGGCTCTATCAGACCAGCAAACCTGGTCCTTTTTTTTTTTAAAATGATTTTGAGTTTTGTTCCACATTGTTCTCCCCTCTATCCAGTATCTCCTACATAGATCCCCCTCCGAGTGATTTATAGTAGTAGTAGCTGGGCACCATCTATCTCTTCTGGTCTCACAGTCGTATAGGTTGAGGATCGCATGGTATACCAGTTGGTTGGACTAATTGTTTTCATGTGTCTTTGGTTTTCTTTATTCTTCTTTGCTCTGGATGAGGAGAGAACCATCGTTGCATCTAGATGGCCGCTTGCAAGCTATATGTGCAAAAGGGTTCATCTTTGTTGTATGTACCTCCCACACACCTCTGTCTTCCTCTTCCTCAATGCCACTGTGTTGATTACTCACTTTTGGTATATTGCTCTTCTTTTCACCCAAATCAATACCTGTCTCTACCTATCTAACAGTGTTCCCTCCCTACCCCTCCCCTCCCCTCCTTGATAACCAACAAAGAAAATTTCCTTCCATAGATAAACCTTTCCTTGACTTTTACAGTAACAGACTACTACAATATTTGTCCTTTTGTGATTGACTTATTTCACTCAGCATAATGTCCTCCAAGTTCATCCAAGTTATGTGGTGTTTCGCAGATTCTACATTATTCTTTAGGGTTGCATAATATTCCATTGTGTGTATGAACCATAGTTTGGTAATTCATTCCTCAGTTGATGGACATCTAGGTTGTTTCCATCTTTTGGCTATTGAAAATAGTGCTGCAATGAACATGGGTGTGTATATCTGTTCTTGTCCTGGCTCTAACTTCTTTAAGATATATACCCAGTAATGGAATTGCTGGGTCAAATAGTATTTCTACTTGCAACTTTTTATGGAACAGTCAAACTGCTTTCCACAGTGGTTGTATCATTTGACAGTCCCACCAGCAGTGCAGAAGAGTTCCAGTCTCCCCACATCCTCACCAGCATTTGTTATTTTCTGTCTTGTTGAACTCTGCTATTAGTGCTGGGGCCAGATGGTATCTCATTGCTGTTTCGATCTGCATCTCTCTAATAGCTAATGATCATGAGTATTTCTTCATATGTTTGTTGGCGACCTTGAATATCCTCTTTGGTGAAGTGTCTATTCATGTCTTTTACCCATTTTTTTTTACTGGATTATTTGTCTTTTTGTTATTGAGGTGTTGGAGTTTTCTATAAATTCTAGAGATAAGTCCCTTATCCGATATGTCATTGCTGAGTATTTTTTCCCAATCTGTAGGTTCTCTTTTTACTCTTTTGGAGAAGTCTTTGGATGCACATAAAAATTTAATTTTTAGAAGATCCCATTCATCTAGTTTCTTTTCTGCTGTTTGTACATTTTGGGTTATACTTGATAGTCTATTTATGCCATATATTAGGGCCCCTAAATTTGCCCCTCGTTTTTCCTTGAGGAACTTTATAGTTTTAGGTTTCACATTTAAGTCTCTGATCCACCTGGATTTAGTTTTTGTGTATGGTATGAGGCATTCTTAACTATGTCTTTTGAGGAGCAAACTTTTTTTAGTTTTGACTGAATCCTATTTATCAGTATTTGGCTTTTATGGTCAGTAATTTTCTTCATTTTTCAAAAACTGAGGTAAAACATAATATAAAAAATTAACCATTAGCCATTTTAAAGTACACTATTCAATGTCATTTAGTATATTCACTATGTTATGCAACCATTACTTGTATCTAGTTCCAACACATATTCATCACCCCAACAGGAAACTCTGTATCTGTTAGCAATCACTTCCTCTAGCCCCTGGCAACCACCCTAGTCTGCTTTCTGTATCTATGAATTTATTCTGGATGCTTCATATAAATGGAACCATATAATATATGAGCTTTTGTGTCCAGTTTCTTTCCTTTAGCATAATGTTTTTAGCATTCATCCACATTGTATATATTACTACTACATGTATTTTTGTTCATCTGTATCACATTTTAACTGTTTGTTACTTGTTTCTGTCCTTCATAGAGTTCTAAGGGTAGGGACTGTCAGATTGGCTAGTTTTGGTATTTGAAGAAAAAAAAGTCTGCAGTGGCCTGAGAGCCAAATCTGGGGAAGCCAAATGGTAACTGGCTACTTATTCTGCCACTAACCTTCAGCTTGTCCGCTTTAGTCCTCGTGTCCAGAAGCTTCTTCTCTTTGGCATCTATTTGCAGTCCCTCATCACACCAGCTCACAGCCTCGGCAAAGTTTTTCAGTTCCAGATGGCATAAGGCACCTGCAGAATCCAGAACCCTTAGAATGCATGAACAATGTGCATAGAAAGAAGCCCACCTTGAGCAGGACCCCATCCTCCACCCCTACCAGCTACCAGACAGCCTCCTGAAGGGAGAACAAGAGATAAAGCCCCTTGGCACTCTTCTCCCAAAGTATATTATTTTTGTATTGTAGATTCAAAAATAAGTCTCCCTGGTATTAGGAGTCTTAAAGTCAGGATGGTTACAGCTTTTTAGCAAAGAAACAGATCTAGGCTTGAATTCTGGCTGTATCATTTACCATCTGAGCCTTAGATAAAGGACTGAACATCTCTGGGCTTCAAGTTCCTCATCTACAAATGGGAAGAATAAAGCCCATCTCAGATGATTCTTTAAAGGGAGACAGTAAGTAGAATCTGCCTCAGCCATTCATCAAGTCAGTGGCAAGACCAAAGACATTCAGGTCTCTCCTAATCTTGTTCTTTCCATCAGTTGAAGCTGCCTCTCTTTTCTATTAAGATACATAGATACATACATGTACATATATACATATACACACATATATATACATATACATATATACATATACACACATATATATATACATATATATATATAAAATGTAATCACATTCATTTTTCTCTACTTAGCCTCTTTAGGCTTTATATGTAATTTCAGAATATCAGAACTAGAAGGGCTTAGGTATCATAGAATCCATCTCCATTTTCCAGAGATGAGCAAACTAACTGATCTTCAGAGTAGATATCTTACCAAGGTCACATGATAAGGTAAAACTGACAACTGATCTGAGGATTACAGATTTCCAGCCTGAGGCTAATTCCGCAGGACTACACTTGATTCATTTGCCCATCTTTGTTCAGTACCTTCTTTTCCCTACAGCTAAGGGAAGCCACTCCTTGGAAGGAAGGTTGGGCAATCCTACTTCCATAGTGATACTGCCTTGGAAACCCAAGGAGGGGTCGCTATGAGTCGGGCCGACTCGACAGCAAATAACAACAAGGGAAGTGGATGTGCTTCCAATCCTCTAACCATGAACATCTAAAGAGGCCTGACTTTGATCAGGCATTTTAACCTGGTCTGTGGGGCTAAAGCAAAGATTAACTGTGATGAATAAAGTTTGCAAAGCACTTATGAGCTTCTCAAAGAAAAGGTGAAGTATTAAAGTAATAAAAGTATTATATAGAAAAGTCAGACTACAAAAGAAAAAATAATCCGAGAGCATCTCAGCGTTAGTGTTATCAGCAAAGGTCCTATAACGTATCTTTTAATTAACAACATGGCATTTAAAGATTTTGCCTTTCAATCAGCTAATGTGGGGAAAAAAGTATAAAGTGTGGCTTTTGGAACTGCTTTAATTAATTTTATTCTTTATTAATTTAAAATGAGGAGTTTTGATTTCTCTACAAGTTCTTAAAACACATAAGGTCAGCTTATTCTCTGGAGAATTCTTTTTAAAATAGGCATGTTGCTATTTATAAGAAGCAAGAACTTAAAATTGAAAAAACAAGGTGACCTAATTAATCTTAGTACCTTCATATCTAAGCTTACAGTGTCTCAACTTTTGGTGCAGTGAGTTCTATCCTTGCCATAATAACAGTTGTACTGTGGTTCTGCAAGACTTACCTCTTACTATTGCTTTGAGGTGGCAGGGTTTTAGCTTCCTGGCAGCCATCACATCATTGAGAGCAGAACGAAAATTGCCTAACAAAATAACATTTAATAAAGAAAAAGAATGACAACAGAATGCTTCCAAAGTTTTGTTTGTAGTGCCCAAGATACTACTGAACATCCTTGGAGAAATATAAATCAGAGCAATTGTTTTTAGAAAAAATATAGTTGAGTTCATCAACAGCCTTAAAAACATATACAAGGTTAGTAGGTACATGAAAAAACACTCAACCTCACTAATGATTATGAAAATAAAAATATAAATTGGTAAAAATTAAAGAACAGATAATATCCTTTATTGGAGAAGGTATGAATAAATGGCACTCATAGGATAAAATGCTTTAGATTAAGTAACAGTCAGAATTACTGGTAAAACTTCATGACTAACTTTGTTAATTTTGTATCATTTTAAAAACCTGACAATAGCCTCTATGCTCAGTAAGAGTGGAATAGTAAAACTAATAATATAAACAGTGGTATATGATGCAACTTTATGCAGCTAATAAAACAGCATTTGCAAATAATTTTTAATGATAGGTAAAACTGTTTGCTATAATCCTAAATACAAAATTGGACATATACCTATAGAAACTGTTGAACTGGCTAATGTTTTGTTGTATATATTTGTACAATAACAAAACTGCACATACATTTATACATTTAAAAAAATTGTAATAGCAGGCTCTCAACTATGGAAAAAAAATGCATATAAAACATCCAAGGACCTCTGATTAAAAGCGGTAGATTGAACAGCTTCCTCCAAAAATCACATTTAATAACAGACAAAAGCTATAAACCCTCAGAGACAAAAAGAATAGGAAGAACACAGAACAAATTTTGAAAGCTGAAAAGCAAAGGCACAAGGACTGACTGACTTATTTGGCTCGAGAAAACGGAATTCTAAGCCAGCAAAACGAAAGCCAAAAAGCCACCAAATTGTAGTACTGCAGAACTTCCAAGACTCAGGGATTGATGGCAGCAGGGAACTCTAAAAATGGGGGTTGAAGGTAGGTTGAAAATCTATTTAAGAAGCAGTCAGATGTCCATATTCCTTACCCATCTCCTGTGGCAGGGTCCTACCTCTCCCCTTTGCTGGTGGAAGACTAGAGATTTATTCTATATAAACAATAGAACACAGGGTCTCTGGACAGGGACCACCAGACACAGTCATGATTCAGTTAACCAAAAAATCCACTGCCATCAAGTCAATTCCAACTCATAGTGGCCCTATGTGACAGAGGAGAACTGGCCTATAGGGTTTCCGAGGCTTTAATCTTTACAGAAGCAGACTGCCTCATGTTTCTCTCACAGAGCAGCTGGTGGGTTCAAATTGCCAACCTCTTAGTTTGCAACTGAGTGCTTTAACCACTGTGCCACTAGGAGCTCCTGCTTCAGTGAATGTACACTCTAAATATTGAAACCTTAGCACAAGTCCCCTACTTGGTTCGTAAAATACCAGCAGCTAGGATTTCCAAAAAGAGAAAAACAGAATAAACAGAAAGAAGGAAAGTATGAAATAACTGAAGAAAATTTCCTAAAACAACTTTCTAGCCAGAAAGAGCTCACTAAATACACAACACACAGGACCCATACAAAAGCCACATTCTTAGGAAACTTTAGTATACGGGGGATAAAGAGAAAACCCTAAAACCTTCCAAATGTAAGAACAGAACACTATTCAAAGGATCAGAAATTAGAATAGTTTGGGACTTCAAAAGTAATACTATTGAGTATTGCTAAAAGACAATGAAAAAATACTGTACATTTCAAGGGAACATGATTCCCCAATTTGTAATTCTACACCTATCCAAATTATTAATTACATGAGTGTGAAAGTAAAATAAAGGAATTTTCAGATGTAGGTTTCAGAAAATTTAACTCTAATGCCTCCTTTATCAGGGAGCTACTAAAGAATGTGTTCCAATGCCACCAAAACACTCGAGCAAAGCAAGAAGGAAAAATTGTGGGATCCAGGAACCTGGAATCAAATACAAATAGGCAAATGGAATCCCCAGATAAAGGTAGAGAGTGAGCCCCGGATCACAGCTGTGCACTAAGCACCGTGATGAGTCCAGACCAAAGTCAGAAGACTCCCAGGGAGAAGCCACCAAGTAGGTAAAATGTATACTACATCTGATGTGGAAGGGAGTTAGAAATATGGGGAGAACACATTAATGAATTAGTGATAAATATGATGAAAACCAAGTGAACATAATAATCAAGACAGTTGTTAACTGAAGGAAAAATAAAAAGTTTTATTAAAAAAAGAAAAATGATTATAATATTCAACATGGTTGTGAATAACATTTACATAATAATGAAGTTTACACTACATGGTAATGTAAAAGCTGAACATCAAACACAAATCATGTACACATTCAAGGACAGGGAGACAGGATGTGTGTAGACATGTGCTGGCAGTGGAGAAGGAGAATAAAATACTCATCTTCCATAGCAGGAATCAACAGGCAAGCCTAAAACTGAAAAATTAAAGCAGCAGCAATGGAAGCATGTTATTTAGTAAGAAGGAGATACATATGAAAAGTAACACCTAAAATAATTGGAAGTGGTTGCCTCTGAGGAATAGAAAATGGTAGGAGAGGGACAGATAATTTCACAACAAGCCTTAAAGAACTGTTTGACTATTTAAATTATATGTATATATAAATGTGATAAAAATTAAGACTAAATTTAAATAAATTAGACTAGAAGGATATACATCCAATGTTCATAGTAGTTGTATGCTTGTGGGATTATGGTTTTTATTTTCTTTTTACCCTTCCTGTATTTTTCAAAGTTGCTACAATAAGTATGTATTATTTTTATTATAATAATGAAAAATTACTAACACTCCAGGAGTTCCAGATTAGCAAGTGTTAGTTCTAAATTTTAAAAGCAGACATCCATCCACATGAATTCACAGTTCTGTACCCTGTACAGAAAATAATAGGAAAAATTCCATACATAGAGTAGTCAAGAAACACTGCTCAGTTTCATGGAAGTATTTGCAGTACTCATCTGGGGTGTGAAACTGCAGGCCAATAATTATTTCAGTCTGTCTTTCTGTTCTACTTATTTTTCCCTTAAACGTATTCCCTAGACACCCGTGATAGTCCTCTTTCCAGGTTCTCTTCATCTCTCCCTAATCAATCTATTTGGGAACCTCTTCATCCACCAGTGCCCTATTTCTGATTCTTAAAGCTTCTTACTCAGCCACTTACTCTCTTTTACTATATACTCTCTTTGGAAGATTCCTGTCCATTCTTAGTGTTCACTTGCTACCTTTATGCTCATGACTATGAATATAAAATCTCTGAGTATAAATCTTCAGGCCAAGCCTTTCCCTCATGTTTCATGTCAATGTGTCCAACTGCATTCCAAACTTCTCCACCTGGATGTCCACAGGTACCTCAAACTGACATGCCCAAAGTAAATTTATCATCTCTCCCCAGAACTCACTTCCTACAATCTGCACCTTTTTCTTTAGACTGCCTATTTCAAGTGGTGGTATTACCATCTTCCCACTTACTCTAGCTAGAAAAATCACCCAAATAATCAGTACTTCCCAAAAGCACATGAGCAGTACAGTCCTGCATCCTATTAGTTAAGTATTACTTGAAAGGGGATTTACCCAACTTGAGAAAGACAGGGTTAAGGCTGCTTTCTGTAGGTCATCTCAAGAGTCTTTTTAAACATGCTAACAAGGAAGCAGCACTTTCCAAACTTGCCTATGGATTTTTTTTTTTAATCCACGGGATCCATAGAATACTCTTTGAGAAATTCTTCTTTAGATTAATATAGTTTTTTCATCCATAGACATCTATAGCCTTAATCTTTCTAGTATCCCTGAGAAGAGAGTAAAAAGCCACAAAACAAAATGTTTTTTGAGAGCAGAAGTGTTTAGGTTTAAAAAGTCTCAGATCATAACTACTCAAATACCATACCAGAGTTACTGTACTGGGTTGAATATTGTCCCCCCAAAATCCATGCATACTAGGAACCTCAGAACATGACCTCATTTGGAAATAGGATCTTTGCAGATGCAATTAGTTAAGATGAAGCCATACAGCATTGGGGTGGGTCTAAATCCAATGAATAGTGTCCTTATAAGGCCATGTGAGGACACACACAGATACACAAATGAGACGCATGTGAAAACAGAGGCAATGATTGGAGTGATGCAGCTACAAACCAAAGAATACCAAGGATCGCTGACAGCCACCAGAAGTTAGAAGAGGCAAGGAAGGATTCTTCCCTGGTGCCTTTGCAGAGCATGGCCCTGCTGACACCTTGATTTTGGACATCTAACTTCCAAAACTATGAGAGAATAAATGTCCGTTGTTTTAAGCCACCCAGTTTGTAAGTTTCTGTTACAGCAGCCTTATAAAATTAATACAGCTACTAAGCTAGTTACATGGTTCAGCTAATAAGAATTATGTAGCCCTTCTGGTTTCCCTTTTCACCATGTCTACCAGGAAGATCAGAGTTCAATCAGAACAATCTATCCTCAGTCTAGGAGCTCCAGTGGCGTAGTAGTTAAAGCATTTCACTGCTAATGGCTGTTCAAACCACCAGCTACTCTGTGGGAGAAAGCAGTCTGCTTCGGTAAAGATTTACAGCCTTGGAAACCCTATGGGGCAGTTCTACCCTGTCCTATAGGGTCATGATCAGAATCGATTTAAAGGCAGTTGGTTTGATTTTATCCTTAGTCTATTTTCTAGGAAAAATTGCTCCCCTTCTCTGACCCTCTCAAATCCTCCATTAGGCATTGCAATGATATTTATGATAAGGTAATTCTTTAGAAAGCATTAAATAATAAAGCAAATTACCCAGGTAATACTGTGCTGCTGCCCGGTTAGTGTAAAGGACAACATTCAAATCAGGGTCTGCACATTTCTTCTTTAATCCTTCAGTGTAGGAAATCACAGCTTTTTTATAGTCTTTTTCTTTAAAGTAATCATTGCCCTCATCTTTATAGGTCTTGGCCTGTTCTGAAAGGAGAGGAAAAATGAACACTATTTTCTAATTTTTAAAAGGCTCATTAAAAAGAAATCATGCAGTAATCTATGATAAACTAATACTAGAAACCCATAGGAAAGGAAAACACACAATTTTAATGGCTAGAAGAAAAACTGAGAGTCAGCAAACTGAGGAGAAACAAAGTCATACATACATAATGCTATAGTCAATTCCAAATATTTTACAAGGTAGATTACAAAGTACTTACCAAAAAAAGAAAAAGAGAAAAGTATAATTATCCTAGCTCCTGGAGGGTTTTTTTTTTTTTTAATTGCTGAAGAAACAAGATAAAATTATACTTTTGTTTCATTCTCTAGAATGCAAATTACCCTCCTCCCTCTGTTAAGACGCTACAAAATTTTTAAGACTTGGCTCAAATTTCCAATCCACTGTGAACCTACTGGTGCTGCATCAGCATTCCCAGAGCTAGTAAATTCTGCAAAGGCTGGAACCTGTGTAAGGTAGAAATCTGTGAGAGAAGGAAAACTCAAAATATTTTCCACTGCAACGTGTTATAGAAAAGTAGTAAGACTGTACCCTGTCAAAGGCGGAAAACTTGCAAGACCCAGTGAAACAAGACAGTTCCCTCAGGTTCTGGATCTCATGAGTTTCAGTGTATACAGCTGTATATTGACACCGATCACATATGTTTGTCCTGATTCTTTCGGACAATTTGGCTACTCATTGGAGTCTGACCTTTGAAAGCAGAAACATGTATTTACTGTTGTCTCTCCAAAACACAGCATTTAGTAAGAATCCAAAAAAGTGGGGAATGAATAGTGTCAAGGATACCCACATACTACTACTTGTTACCCATCAGAACCTCTCTAACTCACACCTTACTTCAAGTCAAGGCAGACACAAAATAGAAGTTGGAGTCATGTAAGAAAGATACCTTCTGGAGATCGCTCGTCATCAAAAATTATTGACTGGAGGCAAGCCAAGTCAGGATTTTCTTTGGGATCAATTTCTAACGGCGCTGTCTTCATAAATAGGGGGATCTTTTCAAACTCCTGGAGATTGTTAAAAGAATGAACTCTATGAAGAAAGTTTTCCACTGAGTAGATCCAATTCCATGACTCTATACCAAAGTTGTCTTGCTCATTATTTGCTGCATCTCCCCCTACCCCCTATTCAGGCCTCAGTTTCCCATCTATAAAATCAGAGTGAGTCCTTCAGTTCTCAAATTCTACAACAGTGGTAGTAATAGCATTCACTGAGTTCTCCCTGAGTGCCAAGTACTCTACCCACCATCTCATTTAATCTTCGCCACAACCCTACGAGCCACAACCCTACGAGACTGCTGCTGTCGGTAAGGCAATTTTACAGATAAAGAAACAGGCTGAGAGAAATTAAATAATTGACCCAGTATCAGAGGCTGTAAGCGGTGGAGGCCAAAGTCTGAGTGACTCCCAAACCCGCCCTAAATGTGTGACAGCTGAAGAAGCTCTTCAATACCTAGAGGACAATTTTTAACACTCAAATAGAAACCACTTAACCTCTCTTAGCACCAGTAACCCGAAGGGTATGGTAGACTTCCCAGCTTGCAGGAGTCTCAGGTACTTGGACTACACCCCCGTACACGTGCAAGGCCCCCGGGACCGCCCACCTCCTCCCACTGGTCCTCGCGGAAGCCGCCGCTGTAAGGCTGGCTCTGGAACTTTTCTAGGAATGAGTCCATGGCGTCGCCTGAGGCGGCGTCCGGTCCAAGTTGCTCCATGGCAGATCTCAGGCCCTCCACCCACTGTCCCGGTGCCACGGTTCTAGTAAGGGAACCGCGAGGCTCCTTCCGGTGGCGCCAGCGCTCTACTCTCAATCATCCGGGCGGCGCCAACCCAAGCACCTCAGGTTCCGCCGGGTTGGGGGCGGGGCCAACCCGGCTCCACTCCCTCCCTACCCGGCCATTCTCATTGCCCACCTTTCTCTCCCTTCAGGGGTCCATACCTTTCCCTCTCTCCCCTGCGGACCCCTAATACTTTTGAGTTGGTGAGTGAGCCCAAAATCCCATAGTGCCCCCACCTGATCTATCATTTCATTACTTTATGAAATTGTTGGTGTTGTTACGTGTGGTGGAGTCAGACCCGACTCATAGCGACTCCTTGGGTTTCCGAGGCAATATCACTACGGAAGTAGACTGCCCAACCTTCCTTCGGAGGAGTGCCTGGTGGGTCTGAACCACCAGTCTTCTGGTTAGCAGTCAAGTGCCTTAGGCACTATGTTACCAGAGCTCCTTTTAGTCGACCTATATATATATCTATAGGAGCTCTGGTAGCATAGTGGCTAAGGCACTTGACTGCTAACCAGAAGGCTGGCGGTTCAAACCCACCAACCACTCCTCGGAAGGAAGATGGGGCAATCTACTTCCGTAGTGATGCTGCCTCGGAAACCCAAAGAGGGATTGCTATGAGTCGGGTCCAACTCGACGGCTCATAACAACAACAACAATATATGTATCTATGTTTCAGTCCCTGTATTAGTCTCTGGTTATACAAAAGATATTAAACAAATCCTAGATAAAATTCCTGCCCTGTAAGAGAGTATAAAGTAGTGGGAAGACAGACAAAGAAAATATAAGGTTGTCAGGTGTTAGCAAGAGCTATTGAAAAATTTTAACCAGGTAGTCAGGATAGCCCTCACTGGGGAAATGATATTCAAGCAAAGAATCCACAGAGGCTTGTAAATGACAAGCACAGTGGGGGAGAACATTCCTGATAGAGGGAACAGGCAGACAGGGACCTGAGGGGGGTGGGGTAGGAGGAGGCGTACTTGTGGAACTTGAAGGAGGCCAGTGTGGCTGGATCCAGTTGAGGAAAGGGACAAGTAGTAGGTGAAGTGGAAGGACAAAGTGGCCATGGATTTCTTGAGAGTGTGATGGGGCCTGTTGGAGAGTTTTGTCAGAGGGAAATCACACATGTCTATTTCTGAGCTTGACAACCCCCTCTCCAACAGCTGGGATGGAAATAGAGTTTCCAGTCTAGATGAGGCAGGCCTACTGCTTTCCTGCAGCCACTTACTCAGCAAATGGCTGCCAGGCCCTGCACTGGGTGCTGCAGCCTAGGGAAGTTCACAATCTGGTCTAGAAGGAAAGACAGGCAGTGGACTAAACCACAGCTGGGTCACAAATTTGCTCAGTGGAGACATAGAGGGATAGGTGTTACCTGGGGGATTCGGAGAGATTTTCATAGAGGTGATGCCTGACCTGAGAGCAGAGTTGAAAGTCTCTGCAGATGGATGGGGGCTCAAGAGAGGGTGTGTGTTCTAAGCAGTGGAAGGCTGTGTGTAGTCATGGAGATGTGGAACAGCTTGCTATGCTGGGTATCACAAGAGTTAAGAGGTAGGGCCAGCAAGATGGCAGGAGCCAGTGGTCCCAAGTGCCCTGTTGGACTTTATCCTGCAGAGGGTAGTGAGCCACTAAAGAGATCTAGGAGGCAAGCCATGGACAAATTTATCTTAGGAAGAAGCCGGGCTTCCAGGTAAGCAAGGATTAAGGTGAGGAAGCTGACTTAAGTGACTGGCAAGGAGGCTACTGCTGAGAGACCAGGAGAGAAAGGAGGTCTGGAACCCGGCCATGGAGAAGATGGAGCTGGCTGGCATGGTCATTATTTGATGTGGGGATGAGGGCTAAGGATGATACATGGGCAGGGGGTGGGGGGGTATCCTTTCAGTGCCAGGACTGTATTTCTTCTAAAATACCCACACCTAAGCAGAACACCTGGTCCAAGTGCTCCTTTTCCTCCAAAGCCAAACCTCATTTTCCACACTTCCTCCTCCAGTCCTGCTCCCTAGGCCTGGTTTCCTTCCTTGTTCTCCTCTTCATCATCATTTCCCTTCTTGAGTACAGTGCTTGAGTACAGTCCTTCTGTCTCCATTTTCTAATCTGATTCTTACAAGAACCCTGTGAAGTCAGAACGGATGATGATTGGGGAGGCTCAGCGAGGATAAGTGACTTGCTCAGTTCTCTTTGCATCCTCCAGCTCAAGACTGATTTAGGGACTGTCTGAGTCTCTTAGGATTGATGTAACAGAATACTATAAGGTGAGTGGCTTTAAAGAACAGAAATTTATTGTCTCACAGTTCTGGAAACTAGAAATCCAAATCAGGGTCTTGGCCATGTTGACTCCTGAGGGCTTTGAGAAAGGAATTGTTCCGTGCCTCTCTCCTGGTGTCCACTGTCACATGGCCATCCTCTGTGTGTGACTCTGTGTCTGCTCTGCTCTTTTTATAAAACACCACTCAGAAGAGATTAGGATTAAGACTCCCCCTCTTCTGTTGTTGACCTTACTAACATAACAAAAGAAAAACCCTATTTCCAAACAGGGTCAAATTTACAGGTATAAAAACCCATTGCCATTGATTCCTACTCATGGTGACTCTGTGTTACAGAGTAGAACTGCTCAAGAGAGCTTTCATGGTCATAATCTTCATGGAAGCAGATTGCCAGACATCTCTTGGTGGGTTTGAACTACAAATCGTTAGGTTAGTGGTTGGCACAAACCAGTTGAGCCACCCAAGGAATTCAACACAACTTTTTTGAGGACACAGTTAAATCCATATTTGGGGACTTGGCCCATAACCAAGCCCATCGGCTTCAGCCATGCTTCTAGACCACCCTGACCCACAATGTGGCAGCTATCACTTGCCAAGGCTAGCCTGGATGGAAAGGTCTAAGCAAGGAAATTGGGAGATTTTTGGGGACTACACTTCCATTGATTCCCTTGTGAGACCTTAAGCAAGGCCTATCCATCTTTGATGCCATGTCCTTGTCTATGTAATGCCATAAACAAAAGGCCACCCTGCTACCATGAGATACAAAGGAGGCAATATTTGGGATAAATCTTGGCAATGGAAAACACTGTGCAAATGGACCACCTCTTTTCCCTGCACTGTCTCCGGCCCAGGATTCCAGAGGCTTTGGCCTACAATTCTTTGGCATGTGATTGATTGTGTGGTCAAGGTCATGATTCCTCATCTGTAGCAGGAGCTTAAATATGGGTGATACCCAGCTATGGCTCTTCTCAGTCTACTCACTCTCCCAGAGGAATCTCACTCCACCTTCTGTGTACAGATGAACTCCAAATATGTTTCCACCCCAGATCTTCTGCTGCCAACTGCCTGTAAATCTCTTTACTGGAATGTCACAAAAGCCCCTCAAGCTCATTGCATCCAGACAGATCTCACCCCTATATCTGCTCCTGGACCTGGGTTCACCATCCGTGGCTGGCACTGTTGGCCCAGTCACTACCCAGAAACCATCCTTGATGTCTCCCTCTCCTCACCCCCTGCCCATCCTGCCAACCACCAGGTTCTCTAAATTTTCCTTACTGATCTCCCTCTCCACCCTGTGTGGCCACAGTCCAGGCCATCCTCCAGCCAGGCCCCCTGTCTGTGGTTTTGTCCACTCCAATGCACCTTTCACTGGACTACAGAGTGAGCTTCCTTTTGCCCCTCCTTTGAAAAAACAAAAATCCCTTTTATGGTTTGGAGTCCCTGGTTAGCTTTTGACTGCTAACTGAAAGGTTGAAGATTGGAGACCACCCAGAGGTACATTGGAAAAAATGGCAGCACAGACGTCTGCCCTCCTCTAGCTTCGCAAGGGGAGAGAATCAACATCAACATCAGCCCAAGGCTGATTCCTATGAGGCAGAGATCAGACATACCTCCTCTGTCCAGTCTTTTTGCCAATTCTGATACAAGCCATCCATCCCGTGGTGCTCTCTACTTCTCGGCTGGGTTAGATAATTCATTGCAATGGCCACATAGAACTCACAGACAATACTCATGATTATAGAGTTTATTATGGAAATAACAGGTTACAATTAAGGATCAGGAGTGATTCAGGATACAGTGCTTTGATTAGGACACCTTTTCAGCTGTGCTCTTAGGCAGGCCTCTCCCTCAGCCCCTGGGCTCCTTGGCCCATGGGCCTGGCCTCTGCCCTATTAGGTCAAGTATTATGAAGCTCTATAGCTCTGCCAATAAGTGCCCAGAGGCACCCCATTCTGCCAGGAAGCCACCTGCCTGAAGGAACTTCGCTCTCTTGCTCTGTAGGTTGACACGCCCACTGTAACCACCTTGGTCCATGGGCTGGGAAACCCACTGCACTATCTCATTCTAGTCTCCTGGTTCTGCTGCTCCTGTTTTTCTGCTGTTGCTTCTTGGTGTCTTGTTGCATCTCTGATGTTATAGCTCTTTTTATCTCGTGGATCTAGGAGGTTCTCAGCACAGAAACCTGGATCCAAAGCAGGGCTCTGAACCAATTCAAACCAGTTTAGTCATAGCCAATAAAGTGAAATTGGAACACACCGGGATTTTTAAATTTGAGTAAAGTGGAGACAACCAGAATGGGAATAATTATGGATTGAAGTCCTGGAATGGGAGACTCGGAAGAGGTATAGTGAGGTATAGTGAGCCCTTTCAGGAGCCTGATACGAGAGATTATTGCTAGGACTGTAGAACACAACACACATTCAAAGTGGCATGGTCAGCCACCATCTTTGAGCTGGGCACTGCTGTTTCCAACTCTTCGAATCAAGAGATTTGGTTGCTATACAACATGCATGCTGCCCTTGTTTTCTAAGAGGGAAATTATTTTTCTGACAAGGCATCAATCTGTAGTTTTTCCCATTCTGGTGATTGTTCTGGTTCATCCACATTTTACAAATTTGGGTCTGTTCCAATTTCACTTCATTGGCCATGACTGAACTGGAAAGAACTAGTTGAAAGCCATGGTCCAAAGGACACACATCAATCCTGGCTCTTCTAAGATCCCCCTCTGCTCTGGGATTGGCTGTCTTTTCAGCCTAGCAAGATGACAAAACTGACCAATCCCTTCGTTAGCATTCCACATGCCTTATTTGCATGGTCCTACCTCCACAGGGTTCCATACACCTTATATGCATTATTAGCAAGCTGTCCAATCACCATGGTGGGCCACAAGCACCTTATTTGCATAGTCCTACCCAAACATCTTTGCTGAAGAGCAAAGATGTCTCCTTGAGGACTAAGGTGTGCCTGACACAAACCATGGTATTTTCAGTTGCCTCATAATGCATGTGAGAGCTGGACAATGAATAAGGAAGACCAAAGAAGAACTGATGCTTTTGAGGTGTGGTGTTGGCAAAGAATGCTGAAACTACCATGGACTGCCAAAAGAACTAACAGGTCCTGGAGGAAATGCAGCCATAATGCTCCTTGGAGTCGAAAATGGCCAGACTTTGTCTCACATACTTTAGTCATGTTGTCAGAAGAGACCATTCCCTGGAGAAGAACGTCATGCTTGGTAAGGAAGAGGGTCAACGAAAGAGGAGAAGGCCCTCAATGAGATAGATTGACACAGTGGCAGTGGTGATGGGCTCAAGTATAGCAAGAATTGTGGAGCTGGCTCAGGACAGGGCGGTGTTTTGTTCTCCTATGCATAGGTTCACTGTGAGTCAGAGAAACCTCGATGGCACCTAGCAACAACAACACCCAAACATAACTTACTCATCTATGCCAGGAAATTTGGAAGACAGCCACTTGGCTGACTGACTGGAAGAAACCAGTATTTGTGCCCATTCCAAAGAAAGGTGATCCAACAGAATGTGGAAATTATTAATACCACATGCAAGTAACATTTTGCTGAAGATAATCCAAAATTGGTCTCAGCAGTATATTGAAAGGGAACTTTCAGAAATTCAAGCTGGATTCAGAAGAGGACATGGAACAAGGGATACCAGTGCTGATGTCAGATGGATCTTAGTTGAAAGCAAAGAATATCAGAAAGATGTTTAACTGTGTTTTATTGACTATGCAAAGGCATTTGACTGCATGGATCATTACAAATTATGAATAACACTGTGAAAATGAGAATTCCAGAAAACTTACTTGTGCTCATGAGGAACCTGTATATAGACCAAGAGGCTATCATTCAAACAGAACAGGAGAATACTGCATGGTTTAAAATCAGGAAGGGCATGTGTCAGGTTGTATCCTTTCAGCATACTTATTCAATCTGTATGCTGAGCAGATAATTTGAGAAGTGAAACTATATGAAAAAGAACGTGGTATTAGGATTGGAGGAAGACTCATTAATAACCTGTGATATGCTGACAACACAACTTTGCTTGCTGAAAGTGAAGATGACTTGAGGCACTTATTGATGAAGATCAAAGATTCAGTCTTCAGTATGGATTACATCTCAACATAAAGAAAACAAAAATCCTCACAACTGTACCAGTAAGTAACATCATGATAGACGAAGACAATATTGAAGTTGTCAGGGATTTCATTTTACTTGGATCCACAATCAATGTCCATGGAAGCAGCAGTCAAGAAATCAGACAATGTATTGCAATGGGCAAATATGCTACAAAAGACCTCTTTAAAGTGTTGAAGAGCAAAGATGTCACTCTGAAGACTAAGGTGCACCTGACTCAATCCATGATATTTTCAGTCACCTCATATGCATGTGAAAGATGGACAATGAATAAAGAAGACTGAAGAATTGATGCCTTTGAATTATGGTGTTGGTGAAGAATACTGAAAACACCATGGACTACCAGAAGAATGAACAAATCTGTCCTGGAGGACGTGCAGCCGGAATGCTCTTTGGAAGCAAGAATGGCCAGACTTTGTCTCTCCTACTTTGGTCTGTTGTCAGAAGGAACCATTCCCTGAAGAAGGATATCATGCTTGGTAAAGTGGAGGGTCAGAGAAAAAGGGGAAGACCCTTGACGAGATGGATTGACACAGTGGCTGCAATGGTGAGCTCAAGCATAGCAAGAACTGTGAGGATGGTCAGGACTGGGCACTGTCTCCTTCTGTTGTACATACATGGGTGGCTTTGAGTCAGGAGTCACTTGACAGCACCTAACAGCAGCAACCAAAGACTATGTGGGAGTCACAAAGACTATGACTAGAAAGGCCACAAGTAATTCACTGTGATCCCTCCTTGTGTTTCCAAGGTGGTATCACTATGGAAGTAGATTGCCCAACCTTCCTTCCAAGGAGTGGCTGGTGGGTTTGAACCACCAGTCTTCTGGTTAGCAGTCAAGTGCCTTAGGCACTACGCCACCAGAGCTCAGTTTGGCTTGTTTTTTTTTTTTTTTTGTGCTCCACACTATGGAGCACAGTTCTGTTCTGACACACATGGAGTAGTCACCATGAGTCAGCATCAACTTAGCAGCAATTAGTTTTTTGTTGTTCAGAGCCCTAGTCCTCTCTCCACCATAATGTAATTAATTAGTATTAATTACTAGTGTAATTAATGAGTATCTTCAGTTTGTTAGTGTTCTTGCAAAATGTGAATTCATTTATGTATACATTTTGGATATACGTTTTTCACTCAGCACTAGATTTGAGGTTCCACCTGTGGTGCTATGTGTACCACTACTCCAATAACCACTGCATAGGACTAGGTAGTATGTCAACAATGGACACTAGGCTGAGCTCCCTCCTTCTCAGGCACCACAAATGGCATCACAATAGACTTCCTCACACATATCCCTGTACCAAAGATTTCCCTGAGATGTGTACCCATGAGTGGAACTGCTGGGTCATAGGTCTACATAAACTTAATATGACTGAGTAGTGATGGATAGCTGTCTAGAATATTGTGGCAATATACCCTGCCCCCAGCAGTGTCTGTGGATTCCTGTGCCATACATGTGCCCATGTTTCTCCCCTGCTTGGTATTGTTAGTTGCCCTTGAGTAGATTCCAACTCATGGCAACCCCATGTGTGTCAGAGTAGAACTGCTCCAGAGGGTTTTCAAGGCTGTGACCTTTCGGAAGCACGTTGGCAGGCCTGTCTTCCAAGGTTCCTCTGGGTAGGTTTGAACAACCAACCTTTTGGCTAGTAGTCAAGCACTTAACCGTTTGCACCATCCAAAGACCTTCTCCCCTGCTTAGCACCCCACCACGCCTTCTTTCTGCTCTCTGGATAAAGTCTACCCCTTTTAATACAGGTGACAAAATGTGATGACGTGGCCCTAGGCCCTCTTCTCACCTCTCTCTCCAGGCTACAATGCCCACAGAGTTGGTCCTTGGGTCCATGTACCCTACTCTCCCCCATATATACTCACTATCTTAGTTACCCAGAGCTGCTGTAACAAAAATACCACAAATAGGTTGCTTTAAAGAACAGTTATTTTCTCACAGTTCTGAGGCTAGAAGGCTGAATTCAGGACGTGCCTTTAGGAGGAAGTTCTTCTTTTGCTATTTCAGCATCTAGTTGCTGCTGGAAATCCTTGGAGTTCCTTGATGTCTGTCTTCCCTATGTGTTTCTATTCTGTTCTTTTTATAACTCAGAAGTGATTAGGCTTAGGACTCATCCTACTCTGATATGATAATTCATTAACATAACAAAAACTCCTATTTCCAAACACAATTATATTTACAGGTACCAAAAACAAACAAACAAAAAATCCACTGCCATTGAGTAGAATCCAACTCATAGGGACCCTATACAACAGAGTGGAACTGCCCCATAGGATTTCCAAGGCTGTAAATCTTTGTGGAAGCAGACAGCCTTCATCTATCTCCTGAGCAGAGCAGCTGGTGGGTTTAAACCACCAACTTTTTGATTAGTAGCCAAATGCTTTAACCACTGTGACACCAGAACACCTTTTTATAAGTACAGGGCTTAGGCTTTTTTTTTTTTTAGCACATATTCAAAGAGATGACCCTTCTCTGGGAAGCCTCCCCTGGCACCCCACCTCCTAGCTGGGCTATGTACCTCCTCTAGACTCCACAACCACATGCTTCCCTTCACCACCACTCTGACCTGATAACTGTTTGTGTCTTCATATGTCAACCTCAGCACTACAGACATTTGGGGCTAGATAATTTTTTGTCGTTGAGGTATGTCTTGTGCATAGTAGGATGTTTAGCAGCATCCTTGGACTCTGCACACTAGTTGCAAATAGCAACTCTCCCTCCCCAAGTTGTAACAACCAAAAATGTCTCCAGACATTGTCAGGTATTACCTGGGGGTCAAAATGACCCTGCCCTTCAGTTCAGAACCACTGCATTAGACTGTGAACTTGGGGCCCAGGGCTGGGTCTGTCTCATGTTTGTATCACTAGCACCCAGAGCAGACCTGACCCAGAATAGGTGCTCAAATGTCACCTGAATGAGTTACAGCCAATCTCTGGGCAAAGACCTGAGGGTGGACTCAGAGATCAGGGTGCTGGGATAGGCATAATGTCATGGGGTGGGAGGGATCCTCTTCTTACCCTTCCCTTTTTTCCTTCCCCCAAAGACCACCCAAATCATCATTTCCTTTCTTTTTATGATCACCTCATGGGAGAAGGGAAACTGAGACACCCAGCTGACTTACTGTGTAGCTTTGGGCCAGCCACTTCACCTCTCTGAGCCTCAGCTGCCCCACTTATAAAAGGTGGACAAACAGCCTCCATGAACCAGTGAGTGTTGACTGAGTCAATGAACAAAAGCCATGCTCATCTCAAAGTGATGGTGGGAAAGGGCTCTGCTTTCCTGACAGGCTGGGTTGGGCACATACCTCTCCTATGAGGAACACTCAAGAGGGACTGATACGCCACATGGCATTTATAGGGAGCCTGGCCGGGGCAGCAGACACCCCTTAGGAGGCCTGGTGGCTTAGAAACGTCACTGCTTCCGGGACATCTTCCAGGAACTCAGTGCATGTAAGATCCAGGAGCGCCGCTGATGGGAAGTGGGCAGGTTCTCGCAGCTGGGGCTCCAGCGGTGTGTGGTGGCTGGGTCACACACCCACAAGTCTCCATGTGGCAGTGGCCAGGAGTTCCGCCAGCAGCTGGCCAGGATGTGGTCCTGGGCCTGGGCCGCATAGATGCACACTGATGCTTCTGGGTCATGTCTCAGGTTTTCTAAAGCTAGGTGATAGGGAGGGGAGAAGCAACTTGTTAAGAACAGGTCCCCACAAGGGTCTCCTTGTGTGCAAAACCCTGCTTGTACCTCATCTTTCCTTCCCACCTCTGACAATTGCCTTTGCTCAGTATCCCCTGATCTCACCTTCCTTCACAGTTTTTCAAATTGTTCACATATTTCTAAGTCTGACTCAAAACCTGCCTCCTCCAGGAAGCCTTCTTGGACCAGCCTACCTTGATGCTTCCATCAGCTTCAACAATTATAAAATCCAGACCACAATGGTCATGGTCCGTCTTAGGAGTCTGAATTACTCTCTTTGCACTATATGGGTTTTGATCTCATTTTCTGAGCCTCGTATCTCAACCAGATTGTCAGATCCCCTTGGGTAGGGCTACGTGTTCTCTGTTGTGGTGATCTCATGGTATCTAATGTGGTACTCACCCTAGACAAAGACTAGCACAACTGAACTGAGATGACGATTCTTGCCTTGGGAGATACCCCTCCCCTCTCCCTATTATTCTCTGTGGTCCTGCTCACTCACCCAACCCATAACCTCATCAGCCCTGGGTACAACTCACCGGCTTTAACGTCATTCAGGCAATCTTCTGTCATTATGCTCTCCATACAGGGGACCAGGGACCCTTGAGCATAATCCAAGAGGTGAGTGTTCCCACCTCCTGACTCCAACTCCCACTGTCATCCCACTCTCGGACCAGACTCCTCAGAGAAAGAAGCTCATCCCACCCTCTCCCAACCCCACAAATGAGGACGTAAAAGGACTTCATTTTGACCCTGAGGCTGATTGCCTAAGAGGAGTCCTGGGAGAGGTGGCTGGCCCAGAGGAGAGGGATGAGATCAGGACTGGGGCAGGATCTGGGCTATAGCTGACTTTGATGCACAGTGTAGCCCTTGCCTGGTCCTTTACCCAGACTGGACCTCAGTTTCCTCATCTATGATGTGGAGAGATACTGCCTCTGCTGCCCACTCACCAGGGAGCTTGAGCAGCAGTAACATGAAAGACACAGAGGGGCCTTGGACGCTGAAAGCCTTGAACCCCTGTCAGGTGTGACCGTGGGTAGGGTCCCTGGAGGGGTAGATTCAGGTGTCCTGGGTCAAGGAAACTGTTTCTTTAGAAGAGACTCAGCCCTGCGCATTCTTCTCCCCATGAGTCCTCAGCAGCCACATTACTCAGCTCCCAGCCCATCCCAGCTTGTTGCCTGGCTCCTGAGGTACCTGCAGGCCCTTGCATGAGCTGTACCACTTTCCATGGCTCAAGTGCTTTGTCCATGCTATTCCTTTGCCTTGAAGGTCCCTCCCTCACTTCTTTGCCTGGTTAATTCCTGTGTGTCCTTGAACATCCAGCTTAACAAATAGTTCCTCCAGGAATCCTTCCTGACCAGTCCCCTCACTTCCAGGCTGGATTAGGTGCCTCTCTGGGTTTCCAGAGTATCTGGGAGTCCCCATCAGTATATACTGCATTCTGTTCTATTTGTGATTTATGAATTTTTATCTTTTTCTCCCAGGAAGAAAGACCTGGGGATCAACTTCCAAAAATTAACCAATGAAGACCTTATGGATCACAGTGGAAAATTGTTCAATTCTCTGGCTTTGGACACCTCATCAGGGGGATCACTCGCTGGAGGAGGACATCATGTTTGAAGAAGTAGAGGGCCAACGAAGGCTTGGGAGACCTTCAGTGAAATGGATCAGCACAGTAGCCACAAGGATGGATTCACACATGCTGGCGACTGTGAGCATGATGCAGGGCAGAATTTTGTTGTATAGTATACAAGGTCACCATAAGCAGTGTTGACTAGGTGGCACCTAAAAACAACAGGATCTCCACCAAGACCAGGGGTTTCTTAATGTTAGATCCACTGGAGGGATGGGGAGATGTCTCTGAACCTCCTAAAGTTACATGCAAAATTGCTAATTGTATGTATATACGCATTTTTCTAAGGAGCTCTGGTGGCATGGTGCCTAAGGCATTTGACTGCTAACCAGAGGGCTGGTGGCTCAAATCCACCAGCTGCTCCACAGAAGAAAGATTGGGCAATCTACTTCCGTGAAGATTTACCGCCTCAGAAACCCATTGGGGGTCACTATGAGTAGGAATTGACTCGATGGCAGTGAGTTTGGTTTTTTGTTTTGTTTTTGTTTTTAATGCATTTTTCTGGAGAAAGTGTTCATAACTTTCTTTAAAGTCTCACAAAAGCTTCCGAACCTCAGAAAGGTTGAGAATCACTGCACCGTGCCAGAAGCTCAGCTTTGTTTCCCCAGCACAGGGAAGACTCCCCAGGTGTTAAACAAATAGGTCATGAACTGCCATTTTTAGAAGTGATTCATTTGGAGCAAGGTTTAAAGAAACCAGCATCTAGAAAATGTGTAGGAAGCTGTCTCTGAGCAGCTCCCACATTTGTCAGGCCACCTGCAGTCCTGGGCATCTCTCCTCTGTCCCAGAACTAATAGTATTAACAACTTTTATTTTCCTCTTTCTTCTCCCACCATCAGCATCACCTCCTAAAGGATTCTTTGTTTCTCTAGCACTAAGCATTGTGCCTGGCTCAAAGTGTTAGTTGCTGTCAAATTAGTGCTGACTCGTGATGACCCATGTGTTACAGAGTAGAACTGCTGTAATCTTTAGAGAAGCAGATTGCCAGGCCTTTCTTCTGTGGTGGCTGGGTGGGCTCAAACTGCCAATCTTTAGGTTAGCAGTTGAGCACAAATCATTTGTGCCACCCAGGGACCTTGGAGTAGGGGATAAATAAGTGTTTGCTAAATAAGCCAATAGGAGCTCTGGTGGCATAATGCCTAAGGCACTTGACTGCTAACCAGAAGGCTGGCGGTTCAAACCCACCAGCCACTCCTCGGAAGGAAGGTTGGGCAATCTACTTCCAGAGTGATATCGCCTCAGAAACCCAAGGAGGGGTTGCTGTGAGTCAGGGCCGACTCGACAGCACATAACAACAACAACAACAACAAATAAGCCAATTAATGGAAGGATGGATGGATGAAAAAAACATGCAAACGAATTGGGGAAAGGTACTAAAACACACATATACACACATTCACTCACATGTTGTTGTTGTTGTTTTGTGCCGTCGAGTCAAACCCGACTCATAGCGACCCCTCCTTGGGTTTCTGAGGCAGTATCACTATGGAAATAGATTGCCCCATCTTCCTTCTCAGCACTCACTCACATACAAGCATTGTTTTTAAAGAGGAGGGGACTGGGAGCATCATCATCTACAAGCCCCTTTGCAGCAGGGTCTCCTGGTCCTTGGTGAAGGGCATGCAGCTATCATGGAAAGAATGGCTGAGAGGAGACCCACCCACCCAGCATGCCATCAGAAGGGTCCTGTGTGGGAATTCTGGGCAAGGGGAAGTTGCTGTTTGGTTTTTTCCCAGAAGGGCAAATGCTGGGATTGTGGAAATAGAAGGATCAAAGTGACTAACATTGATTAAACACTTACAAATGCCAGACCTCAAGGCTCACATCTTTCCAAATATATTCTCATTCAGTCTATGAAACAGGACTTGATCCCCATCTTACAGGTGAGGAAACTGAGGCTCAGTGGGAGTAAATGATTCCATTAGGGCCACAGAGAGATAAGGTGATGAGGCTGAAATTCTGCTTGATCTTTTCTACTGTGCAGCTTTGCCCTTCCTGTTGAAGCCAGTGGGGGAATTTGGCTGGGCTCTTGTTAGACTTGGAGCCATACTGTACTCCAGGGGGGAGCAGCAGATCCACTCTGTACAGTTGCCAAGGTTGTGGCCTGCACAAGGACTCCAGGCTGAATCCAATCTATAGGCCACTTCCCAAGCTGTTATCTCAGAGGAGGGAGGAACTTTCTAATTTGCACCATGGTGCTGTCTGGTAGCTAACCCTTGCACCCAAGGGGAGGCATCCACCCAGATGCCAGAAGGGCTGATAACCTGGGAGAAAGCAAATCAAAGAGCAGGTAGGACCCTGGTAATTATGCCTAATTATGCCATGGCTGGTTACCTATAAACATGACTGAGTACTTCCGGAGGGAGGCCCGGGAGTTCTTGGTGTACTCCAGGCTCTGGTTGAGGAACTTGAAGGCACCGTCTCGGTGAGTGTTCACCTGAATCAAAGAGAAATCCAAGAGTGCTGAACCTTCAGCGGAGCTAATCCACCCAGCCCTCCTGAAACCAGGAATGGTGACCCGAGCAGACAGCCAAGCCCTGGTCTCTTGCCTCCTAATGTCTCTGCTGCCCACCATCTTCCTGAATTCTCTCAGAGGCCAAGCCTTTTCTCCCCTTAGTTGATGGCAACACTTGCTTCAGTGGTCTCCTCTTCCAATCCATCCCCTTCCTCTAAGTGGAGAAAAAGTTCTAATATGCAAATCCAGCCAGAGGTATGAATGGCCATGGCATATGAAACATAATAGATCCGATCAGGGTGAAAAAAGATTCAAGCTACTGAGCAGTGAGGGAATAAACTGGATGGTTAGGGGGTCTACAATGTGCTTAAAAGCCATGCAGGGATAGGGCTTTACAAAATAGGAAGCCAGCATTCATCCTTGACAGGGCTGTGACAAAGCAGTGTTTAGGGCAAAATAGTTGGACAGTGGTATTCAGGATGGGTTTGATCAAGTAGAAACTGGGGGCAGGTGTCCTGCTAAGAGTCTGTTGAGGAAGATGAAGAGAAATCTGATCACTCTTCTGTTGACAGCTACTTCATGTCAAGATCTAAACTCCTGGGCCTGGTCTGCAAAGTCTTGATGATCATGTTCTGGGTCTAACATTCCTTCCCAGACTCATTTTCCACCACTGCCTCCTTCTTTTATGCATGCTGAGCTCTAGCACAAGGACACGGTCCACTTATCCCAGACAGCCGGCTCCTTGGCACCTCCATGTTTTGTACAAGTGAATGCTCAGATTTGCAGTAACCTTTCTTCTCTTCTTTTCCTGATAAATTCTCTCATCCTTTCAGGCTAAGAACAGAAGCCACCTCCTCCCTGAAACTTTCCATAGTCCTCAGGCAGAACTCATCCTGACACACTTGAGATTTCTGCAGCATCTTGCACATCCTTTGTCATGGTAGCAATGGCGTTGGGTTGTAATTATGCCTGATCTCCTCCACTGGACCCATAACTCCCCAAGAGAAGAGGCTGTCTCATTCAGCTTAGGGTCCTCAGCACCCTGGGCAGGACCTAGTATGGAGCAGGCAATGAAGGAACTGTGGTGGTAGATAAATGAATCAATGAATGAAAAGTTTACTGTGGTGCAAGGAACTACTTGGTATGGCTCTTCTAGCCATGGTACTCCCACCAGATTACTTGTTGTCAGGATGCAAATATAAGGTGCTTGTAGCCCACCAAAGGGATTGGATAGCTTGTTAGTAATGGAAATAAGGCACATGGCACTCTATGGGGGTGGGACTATAGAACAAAGATGTATGAAACCCTAATGTGGAGATTGGTTAGTTTTGTCATTCTGCTAGGCTTAAAATGAGCCCTCCTAGAGGCAGAAGGAGAAATCTGACTGCCATCAAGAGAGGTAAGTGGAGAGTGGAGTGAGTCCTTGGACCCAAGATCCCTGTGCAGAGAGTCGGCAGAGGGACGGTGGTGGCGACAGCAATGGAACCAAGAGACCAATGTGAGACAGAGCTGCAGGCTTGCTGGCCAGGGAGTGAAAAAGTTAGGTGCCTTTTTGAAGGAGGCTTACTGGCAGATTGGGGTGCACCTAGGAATACCTATCAGCAAAGCTAAAAGAACTTGTAACACTTCCCTGAGCAAGGCAGAGGCCAGGTTGAAAGGCCAAGGAGAGAGGCATGCCTGCCTGAGGATATGGTTGAGGGGAGGTTGTCGAAGAATTGTATCCTGAGCTTTCCTGAATCTGAGTTATAGCCTGTTGCTTCCCTAGTAAACCTCATGATCATAAGTATTGTTTGTGAGTTGTGTGGCCATTGCAATGAATTATTGAACACAGCAGAGAAGTAGTAAGTGGCATGGGAAGGATGGTTGATGTCAAAATTGGTAAGAAGTTTGGAGGAGCAATTCCACTACTAGGACTATATCCTAAAGAGGTGAGATCCAGATTGCAGCACAGTTCATTATAACAAAGAGATGGCAACAACCTAAGTGCCCATCAACAGATGAATGCATAACCAAATTATGGTACACTCTCACAATGGAATACTATGCAACATTAAAGAATAATGAAGAATCCATGAATCATCTCATAACATGGATGAATTTGGAAGACATTATGCTCAGTGAAATAAATCAGGCACAGGAGGACAAATATTGTCTGAGTCCATTATTATAAAATCTCCCCATTAAGGGAAGATTTATGCAAGGAAGGAAATTTAATTTGTTGGTTACCAGGGATGGAAGGGAGGGGGAGGGAAATTTTTCTGACTAGTTAAGAGTCATGTGTTGAATTGAGTGAAAGGAAAGGCAATGTAATGAAAGTGTGTGACCATCACAATAACAATAGGGAAAAGGAGGACACAGAAATGTGCACAAAAGATACAGACAACAGAAGCAAATACTACTACATACACAATACTGCATTACCAGTAACGACAAATACTACTCTATGGTTAAATGCATAGACCAGTGAAAAGATCAGGTGTGGGCAGGTGAACAGAAACATACCCATGACCACAGACAGATTTGGCTGATGATATTCTTACATGTGTATTTGTATTACAAAAAATATCCATATACATTGTAGAAGTAACAGGGTACAAGGTTCAAGTAGTTTCTCAATGACAACCAAGCACTTTGAGGGAGTCACCAGGCCTGCAGGGGACATAAAGCTCAATTGGCACAACATAGAACATAAAAATCTTGTTCTACATCCTACTTGGTGAGTAGTGACTGGGGTCTTAAAAGCTTTAGAGTGGCCATCTATGATGCAACTATTGGCCTCCCCTTGTCTGGAGCAAAGACGAGTGAAGGAAATCAAAGTCATATGGAAACAATTAGTTCAAAGATATGATGGACATGGGAACCTCAACCTTCATGACCCTGAGACCAGAAGAACTAGATGGTGCCCAGCTACCAATGTCGATTACTTAGAAAGGGATCAAAATCAGAGATCCTGGATAGAGTGGGCGGAAAAATGTGAAACAAAATTCAAAAACACAAAAATGACCAGAATTACTGGTCAGATAGAGGCTGGTGGAACTCCTGAGACTACGGCCCCTGGTTATCCTTCAGGCTTGGAGTTGGACTCACTTCCATAGATTAGCTCTCAGCCAAACAGTAGAAAGACCTACAAGCAGAACACCTACCCCAGAGAAATGCACCCCTTAGATCAATCAACCGTGAGACAAAAGGCATCAAAAGAGCAGCATTTTCATAGAGGGAAAGCTAGACAGACAGGAGCGCATAGATAAGGATGACACAGGGAAGAGGCATAGTGAGAAGATGGGAGGAGAGCTTTTTACTGTTGGGATTGTAACCGGGCGTGAAACCAAGTGTGCATGAACAGTTGAGAGTAAAACAAATCTGCTTTATAAATTTGCACCGAAATCACAATAAAAAATTAAAAAACAAAACAAAACAAAAAACAGGTGGTTGGAAGGTGGCAGTACATCTGGCCTCATAGGAATAAGCCTTGGGCTGCTGATGGGATTCGGTCTTCCCCTTGTGAAGTTAAAGGAGGTCAGAAGAAGATGCCACCCTCATGTCCTTTTTGCAGTTACCAACCCCTTCTTAAAGCTAAGGCTAGAGGTTGGCCTCCAATGAGAAAATCTGTTGATGGCCTAGAGCAAGAAGAGACTGAGAACTCAGAGGGGTCACAAGCCAGGTGTCTACTAATATGACTCCACAAGTGGCCTGTGGAGTTGTGACTGGCATAGTGTTTAAGTCAGTTACTTAATATCTTATGAAAATCTGGGTTTTAGTTATGCTTGAGCCCATCATTGCAGCCACTGTGTCGATCCATCTTGTTAAGGATCTTCCCCTTTTTTGCTGACCCTCTACTTTACCAAGCATGATATCCTTCTCCAGATAATGGTCTCTTCTGACAACATGACCAAAGTAGGTGAGAGAAAGTCTGACTACTCTCGCTTCTAAAGAGCATTCTAGCTGCACTTCTTCCAGGATGGCTTTGTTCATTCTTCTGGCAGTCCACAATATTTTCAGTATTCTTTGCCAACACCACAATTCAAAGGCATCAAATCTTCTTTGATCTTCCTTAATCATTATCCAACTTAATCATTATCCATGCATATGAGGCAATTGAAACTACCATAGCTTGGGTTAGGGTGCACCTTAGTCTTTAAAGTGACATCTTTGCTCTTCAACACTTTAAAGACGTCTTTTGCAGCAGATTTGCCCAGTGCAATATAACATCTGATTTCTTGACTACTGCTTCCATGAGTATTGATTGTGGATCCAAGTAAAATGAAATCCTTGACAACTTCAATCTTCACTCCATTTATCATGACGTTGCTAATTGGTCCAGTTGTGAGGATTTCTGGTTCCTTTTGTTGAGGCACAACCCATACTGAAGACTGTAGTTTTTGATCTTCATCAGTAAGTGCTTCAAATCATCTTCACTTGCAGCAAGCAAAGTTGTGTCATTTGCATATCACAAGTTGTTATTCACCTTATGGATAGCAGTGAAACACTGATATATTATTGAAAGAACCATCTATATGAGATCAAATTGACAACAGTAACTAGAGCACAGAGGAGTTTAGGGGACAGAGTCTGCATTAATGGTGGTGAAACAACATGGGTAAAGATAGCAAGAATGGTGACACAATAGCAAAAATGGGACCAATGTCACTGAACTGTACGTGCAGAAAATACTGGATGGGTGTAAGTTTTGTTACTTATGGGTCCCTAGCTTTTCTTCTAAACTGGAGGACCTGGCATGAGTGGCCCACCGGGTAACAGTTAACCAGGGCTCTCCACTCCTGCTTTTGATGGGTCTGGGCTCTCCAGATTGCCCCAGACCCCACCACTTCCACTTCACTTATGGTCATTATCTCCCAGTCACTGTTGTTGTTGTTGTTGTTATGTGCCGTCGAGTCAGTCACTGTAGGCATTTGAATTAGCATGCCTGGCCAAACACTTCCGCCAGACCTCTTTTTTTCCTCTTTAAAACGATAATAATGATACTATACACTTGACTCTCAGGTTTTGAGCATTACTGTTGACAGCCCTTGTCTCAATTGTAATGACAATCTGTTACTATCCATATTTCTAGTAGTTGCAGAGAGGCCCTGCCCAGATCTCCCTTTTGGTATGAAGGCTGTATTCCCCCAGCTGCAGGGATTGCCTCAGCTGAACAGGACTACCTTGCTTGCCCAAGATCAAACCCCTCCTGAAGTGACCAGCATCCAATGACAGATGGACATGGGATTGTAAAGACCTGGGCCCTGGTGCCAACTTGAGGGACTCTCTCCACAGGGTTGGCCGAGACCTTCACTGAAACTACACCGCAGCTCAACTTCTCCCTTGGCCAATCCTGCTCCCCCATCTCCCTTCCACAGGTGTTGATCCCAAGGACCTTCCCTAAGAAACTTCCTGCATGCTAATCTCTGTCCCAGAGTTAGCTTCCTGGGAAATCCAATCTTTGACACTAGGGAAGGTAGACCTAGAGTAGATGGCAAAGTCTCCCAAAGGTTGTACTGAGGAACTGGGACTGTCTCCTGCAGGGCAGTGTGCCACAATATAGTCACAGGTGTTTCCTAGAAGTGAGTTTTATGGTTAAATAAGTTTGGGAAAACACAAATTTAACCACAGTGGACACATTTCTTCAGTATAGGACCTCTCAGAGCCTTTAATGGGCTATAGAACAAGATGACTATGCAGTATTTCCCAAACTTATTTGCCTTGGAACCTTATCCCCCCTGTGGGGTATAGCCTGTGAGTTTGGTGTTGCAGGATATACATCCTGGAAATTGCTGCTGTAGAAAAGGGAGCCAATGAAGCTCTTTAAGCAGTGATGTAACATTGCCAGATCAGGGTTTAACAAGATTTCTCTAGTGCCTGCATGGGGATTGGGTCAAAGGGGTTGAGTTAAATTAAAGGCTGGGAGACTCATGGGATGGCTGGACCCATGGCCCTCCTGAAAGATGTTCTTGGCCTGAACTAAGGCAATGACAGTGGGAACTGAAAGGGAATAACAGATGATACAAGAGCTATTTAGGATATCTAAGAGTTGAGGATTGATCAAAAATGGATAGGGAGGGAGATGAAGGAATCTAGGATGAGTCTAGGTTTCTGCTTTGAGGATCCAGTGGGACAGAGCAGAACTGAAATGGAAAATTTTAAGTTTAGAAGAGACATGCTGAGCTTGAAGTTCCTGTGGTTCATCCAGGGAGAGGTGTCCAGGAAGCCCTTGGAAAGGAAACACTAGAAATGGAGTGAGAAGTCAGAGAAGGAGATGGACGTTTAGGAACCAATGACTTGCAGGTGATAACGGAAATCATCAGACAGGATGCTTGTGCAACAAGAAGGAAAAATAAAGAATCCTCCACCCTCAAATACTCTTAACCAGCCATTGAAGACCCCGAAAGCACTCACGAGGTACTTGCAGATTTTGGCCACTGTCTTTTGATTGTTGTCCCAGGGCTTCCGGCTATAAGCTCTTTTTGGCAACTCCCAACCCATGAAGCAAGAACAGCGAAACAAGGTCTTCACACATTTCTGGGGACCAATAGGAATAGAATACCAGAGCTGTGGAATTCCAGAACAGCAGAATATGTTCCAGGAAAAAAAAAAAAAAAAAAGTGAAAACGAAATTTTGGAAAAGCAATCCCTATTTGAAATGTGCAAGTTAGGTTGGCTTTTCTGGGGAGATGGATGCTTTTGAAAAACAGACTCTTGCAGGACATAAATAACTGCCCCCCAGTGGATTGTTTCTGGATTCTGGCTTGGTTTCTGTGGGGCCTAAGGGTGGGGTAGAGGGCCCAGTGCCTGCAGCACACTCACCTGGCTCACTTTGGCATTGCCCTCCTGCATGACCAGTAGTATGGGCACCAAGGCGCTGATCAGCTTCTCCTCCATGGCCGGGGTGCGTGGGGATCGCAGCTTCTGGACCACCTTCCCATACAGATTGATACACGAGCAACGCACGTCTTCTCGCGACTGGGTGAAAGGGCAGGCTCAGGGGGCACCCCTTTCTCTGTGAGGCTGCCCAAGCTTCTGTCCTCCCATGCCTACCCAGACCAACAGTGCTTTCTTTTCACTCATTCTGGGGGTCCCTCCAGGCACAAAGGTACAGAGACAGTCAAAGGCACCAAGTAGGGCTGATCAGTGCCAGCGTCCCCTTCCCCTGAGCTGAGGTCTGAAGCTCTCTCCACTCTTCCCAGCAAGGGCCCCCACTAACCTTTGTACCCAGTGGAAAAAAATGTCCCCTTCCATGAAATTGAAAAAAAAAGAATATACTCCCATGGAAACAATTAGTCCAAGTGACTAGTTGATCATGTGAACCTCAGTCTACATGACCCTGAGACCAGAGAAACTAGATATACCTGGCTACCACTGTCAACCACACAGAGAGGGATCAAAATATGAGACCCTGGATAGAATGGGAGAAACATGTGGAACAAAATTCAAAATCATAAAAAAAATTTACTGGTTTGGTATGGGATTTCTGGTGGCGTAGTGCCTAAGGCATTTGACTGCTAACCAGAAGGCCGATGGTTCAAACTCACTAGCCAGTCCTCAGAAGGAAGACTGGGCAATCTACTTCCATAGAGATCTGCCTCGGAAACCCAAGGAGGGGTCGCTGAGTTGGATCTGACTTGACGGCAGTGAGTTTGGTTTTTTGGGATTTTTGGTTTGATATAGACTGGTGAAAGCCCCAAGACTATGGCCCCTAGTCAGGCCTGGAACTGAACTCAGTCCTGTGGCTTCCAGCCAAATGTCAAGGTGTATAAGGTGAACATTTACAATCAACCATGGGAGAGCAGAAGGGGAGTATTTGCACTGGGAGATAGCTCAGAGGGCAGGAATGCAGAGGAAAGAAGAACACAGGTAACAGGTAACAACAGGGAAGAAGTGGGAAGAGAGCTGGAAATTGAAATCAATGTCATGGAACAAAATGTGTAGGATCTGCTGCATGGAAAATGAATTTCTCTTTTCACCCAAATCATCATCATCATCATCATCATCATCATCATCATCATCATCCAGACCCTCCAGGTGGGTGAATCACAAAAAGGTGACCCTTTTTGAGGAGATTTGATTACAAAAGAAGAGCTCCCTCTGAGAGAACCAATTTGAAAAATGTACCTTCTCTGGGAGAGCTGATTACAAGATGTGAACCATTTGAAGCAAGATGCTCTGGCTGACTCTGCCCTCCCCCAAGTCCCAGGGTGTAAGGACTGGGGCACTACAAGGTATTGCAGCCCCCCAGTCTGCAAGCTCTCCCCAGAGTAGTAAAGAACTGCCCTTTATACACCACCACATCCTCCATTCCCCTTCTCGCGTGTCAGAGCGACTCCTTACGTCACTGAAGTGTGGCAGCAGGACCTGCAGCATCTCCACAAAGACGGAGCCATCTGAAAGCTTCCGGCCCTGCCCCTTGAAGATAGTCTTGAGGTTGTGGACCGCCTCCACCACTAGCTGCCCATCCACGCTTTGCAGGCCCTTCACCATGGAGGGCATGAGGGCCTGTACCTTGGCTATCTGTGGGATAGGAGTATCTGGGATGGGGGCTCCTACCTGGGCTAACAGGTAGGAGACCCAGCCTCTAATTCACTGGGATGAACTTGGTGAACAAAGTGCCCCCTGCAGGCCTCTGTTTATGCCATCCCACTTACCTGAAATGCTAGTCATGCAAGCTGTTGCTCACCCCTGAAGCCCTCTTTGGCCTCATGGACTCCTTCCTGGCCCATATGCCTGAGGCCCTCCCTCTGTTGTTTACTCTACTTCCTTCCTTGACACTGGGTAGATAGGGCCCTACATTGTTGGTCATCTTCCTAAGCTATGGCCTGTTCCTTCATTCTGGTTACATCACGAGCTACAACAGTGCCCAGGAGAGAAAAACAAAGCTGTTTTATTTTATTTATTTTTATTTTGAGAGCTTGTTTTACATTCAACGTTACATGTACATTTAGTTTCATTCCCCATTTGCCATGTCCAACCCTAACCCAGTCTCCTCCCCTCCCTTCTCTGTAACCCTTCCCCTGTGCCCCTCATAT